AGATAATATTTCCCTTTAAAATCCTGATTATTTATTATACTCCCTGCTGTGGCAGCCATTTTAAAAAGGGTTTGATACAAAATGTTTAAAACCACAGCTATTGATTAAGATTTAAAGAGTTTGATTAAATCTGGCCTGTGTTTAAAGATATCTTGCTGACACACTGGCATGATTAACTCCAGTAGTTAATGACATAATCCAGTAGTTAATGACATAATTTTAAGAACATTTTTCAGCCCAACAAACTCTACAACAACCTCAAAATCTGGCTGAGTTTTGGCCATTTTTGAGTTTTCTAATGCTGCTCAGCTGTGGTGGCCATTTTGGGCTAACTCCAACAGTTAAACAGTTGCAGATGTTCATCCAATKATTACTAACAAACATGACTTTTCACCTTTAAGGCCATAATATAACAATTTAAAGTTTCACTCAATTTATCCTCATTCAAAAAAACAACAACAAAAATAACACTTTTTCCTGATTTTCCTACATTTATGACTCTTCCTACATTTCTTGTCACCATATCAGCAGCATGTATTTGTCACTAGCTAAATGTTGGTGGTCCTGGACCAAAACATCAATTAGCAAACACAGCAACAAGAACTCAGAGGAACAGTGCGCGCCTCGCTCCCTTCAACAAACCTAATGGACCCTGAAATATACGAGGCTGAAAGGTTACGGGGAGACTGAGCAGTTTTCTGGCTTCACCTCCAACACATTGGCAGCTCTCAGATTTGACAGTAGGCTGAACTTTGGCACCTTACTGTTTGAGCATCTTAGCTTGGTTTTGAATTTGGTCTGATCAACGTAACATTTAAGACACAACTGCACTACCTAATGTCCAGTTAAAACTAGTTTTTATTGTTTCAAGGGTATTGTTCAAAGTCTTTTAGTACAATAACATTTGAACATCGAAGTTGTAATGTGACTATATAACATCTAACAGTGTTAGCTATTTAAAAAAATCAGTATCTGCCAAAACTGGAATTGGCAGGTCAGACTTTTTAAAGATCGGAGATTGGCAAGAAAACTGTAATCGGTGTACCCCTACTTTAAAATCCATGTTTTTTGAACAGGTATGCCTTCAGATATAATCCTTTGTTTTAAGGTGCTTATAATTTTCTTTGAAATTGAACAGTTTTCTCTGCTGGCGACTGCGATGAGGGAAATCCCTTTGTATAAATGTCCTGATGCATCTCAGTAATCCAGGTAGAACATCCCTTTGTATAAATATAAACTCTGTTATTGTGAAGCTTTGTTTTATACCAGCTTTCTTTCTAGTAAACAAAACTAGCCTGTTGCCAGGCCAGGGGATAAACCATGCTTTTGAGATGTGGAATTGAAAATTAACAACTCACTATTTAAAAAATCCTCATTGTGACTCATTTTGCCAACACGGGCCAAAATGTTTGTCCTAATTTGAGCTGAAAGAATCTAAAAAAAATTGTAAAAAATAAAAACATAAACAAGATGTCAGAAGAACCACAAAATGACGGTTGAATCTGAATTGACTGTGCTCATGAAAGTAACAAAATTGCCTTGATAATCTATAAAATTATATTAAATCCTGCATTAAATACAAGCTATAGTATAATTGTGGGAAATCAAATGAAAAAATTAGACCAGTAATTAACCAATGGCATTAAACATTGTTTTTTTTTTATTTACATTATTGTTTTTCATCTGTTACTTGGTAGAGATGATTTTGTTGCAGCTGTAAATTATTTTCWATTAAATTAACGCCATCATGTGCTTGACACCTCAGTGTGTGTTGTGTTCACGTCGTTCCTCAAGCTGTTTTTTTAAAACAGGCAAGAAAAAAAAAAACGTCATGTAATTTTTCTCACCTCCACGTAGCACAGCATGTAAAAACTATAAATAAAAATAAAACAGCACAGAGCTGAAAGTGGTTGTGATCACACAATGTAAAGTAGACTAACCTGCGCTGGGCCAGCCAGGGTTGGGTTGAGTCCAGCCTATGGAAGAGCCATATGTGTACTCAGCTGGACGTTTGGAGTTTTAAAATTYTCAATAAATTGGTGAGAAATGCACAAATTGCAAAGTGTGCATAACATATAGCTACAGAACAGTTTACATCATGTGTTAAACGACTTTCATACTGCAGACGTGTTGCTGTGTCACGTCACAGCATAAGTGTCATAAAACCACACCCAGAAAGCAAGCAGGTACTCTGATAATGATCAATGAAAAACACTCTGATTTATAACCTAATATGTCACTTCAGATTGGCTGAGACGTCCCTAACAGTGTTMAAATTATTTTAATTGCTTGTTAATGTTTTTCTTTCACTTCCTCCCTTCTGCAGGRGTCACCACAGAGAGTGGACTCATAGAAAAGATTTGCTCTTTTCTCTCCAGATGCCCTTCTCGACAACCTAGGCTCAGATCTGAAGCCTACAAGACCACCAAGCTACTGCAGCCTGTAGTAGTTACTCAGTTCCTGAAACCCCTCCATAGTCATTGATGGCAGAATAACTTTTAGTTGAGAGATGCCTTGAACTAAAAAYGCTAAGAAACAAAATTGTGTCTTTAGATTTGAACATTTATTTCATCTAATTTTCTTTCTTTAGCTAAAAACAATAAATAAATGTTAAAAAAACGTGCATTGCCACATCT